TCAACTTTTCCCCAAAAATATTTTTTGGAAATTTATTTCTAAAGAAAATTGATACTTTCAACTTTTCCCTAAAAATATATATATTTTTTATTTTTATTTAAAGAAAATAAAATAATAAATAATAAATAAAAATAAATAAAAAGAATATTACATAAACCTAATCTAATAAATAAAAAATAAAATAAACAAATAAACAAAGAAAGAAAAAAAAAAAACTTGGAGCGGCTCGAATCGCGGCTCGGCTCGGCTCAAGGCAGGGAAACGGCTCGGGGGAGCGGCTCGGTAGCTTGGCTCGGCTCGGCTCGGAGGGGGGCTGGCACGCGCGGGTCAAAAAGCGGGTCGACGCCCGGGTCGAGTCGGGTTCGACAAAATGCGCGGATCCTCTGGGTTACTTAAGGCCAAAACGACGTCGTTTTAAAAGGGTATAAAAGGCACTTCCTTCTGTTTTTCGACATAACCCTTCTCCTCACTCTCTCTCTTCTTCCTTTTTCCACTCCCTTCTCTCTAAAGACTGAAGAACACCGGTCGAATTTTCGTCGGATTCTGGAAAAAGTCACCGGAATCTGGAAATTTCACCGGAAGTTGGTCGAAAAATCACCGATTTCTGGGATTCTTCACCGAAAACTGGGTTGGTCACCGGAAACTTCAAGGTTGGTCAAAATTTTCGTCGAAAAATTCAAACTTCGTCGAAATTTTCGTCGGAATCTGGAAATTTCCCAGAAATTTTCAGAAAAAATTTTTGCCAAAAATTTCTAAAAAATTTTTCTCACTCTCAGAACACTCTTAAACTTTTCTTAGCTTCCTATACGCCTCCTTTTCTCTCAAATCAGTAGCTTTGCTTACTGTTTTCTCTGTGTTTCATTATGTTCCAGGAGGTGCTTTATATAGGGATTGATCAGGAGTTTCTGATCAATCCCAATTCCCCTTTGGACGGGAATTCAATCTTTGAATCCAGTCTGGACTCTTCTGATTGAATTCTCACTCCCAGTGGGATTCTTCAACTTTCAATCCTAGCCCTCCAAAATAAAAATCAAAATAAAAAAAACTAGATAATTAGAAAAGATAAATCAAAAGATATTATAGGATAAAAATAATAATAAAAAAATATCAGATATATAATCAGATAAGTAAAAATACAAAAATAAATAAAATAAAAAAGATTAAAAAAATATATATATACATATTAGTAATAATACATAAATAATAAAATACACATAAATATTAACAAAAAATAAATAAATAAATATATACATATATTAATACATAATAATAATAATAAATAATACAATACATAAAATACAAAAGAAGAAGAAAAAAAATACAAGATAAAATTGAATTGGGCTTACCTATTTGGGCTAGGCCTAATTGATTTGGGCCGGACCCAATTGGGTGTCTACAGCTGCCCCTCTTTGCACATTTTCTGTGAAACAAAAATTGCGCAAAGACGTAGACACCCAATCAAGACTCAACTCAACATTTTTTGGTTTTTTTTTTATTTTTTTTTTTGTTTTTTTGTTTTTTTTTTTTTACCAAAGCTCCTCTAAACAGAGGCACCACGACTTTTGGAAAGTAAATTGCTCCTCTAAACAGAGGTACCACGACTTTGGAAAGTAAATTGCTCCTCTAAACAGAGGCAACGAACTTGGAAAAGTAAATTGCTCCTCTAAACAGAGGCACCACGACTTTGGAAAAGTAAATTGCTCCTCTAAACAGAGGTACCACGACTTTGGAAAAGTAAATTGCTCCTCTAAACAGAGGCAACGAACTTTGAAAAGTAAATTGCTCCTCTAAACAGAGGTACCACGACTTTGAAAAAGTAAATTGCTCCTCTAAACAGAGGCAACGAACTTGGAAAAGTAAATACTCCTAGACAATCATGTCCGAAGGAGTTGAAAGTTGTGTTTGAAGGGATTTCAGGAGATTATGCCCAAAGGTCTTATAAATCAACCCTGATACCAAGAGACATCCTATTTCAAGGATTAGGAACTTACCTGACAAGTTTCTTCTCAAACTTGCAAAGTCTTTTCATATCTGTCTTTTCCATGTGGGATGTTGGAACACCCCTGCTTCTTGAATTTGTACACTATACTTTCCTGAAAGTAGTGTATGCTATGCAAATGCATATGAATTTCAATGCATGCTATGCAAATGTTGGCCAATTAATTCCTATTCAATGTATGGTACTCAAGTTTCTCAAGCTCTTTTCTTGGGCATCAAGCCCTTTGATTCCTCAAAGATTCAATGGCATTGTTCTCTTAAGATCGAACCAGTGTAGCTCTTAATTATTTCTTTCATTCATATTCTTCCTGTAACAAAAATCTCTTCCCAAATTCAATGTCTTAATCAGGAGCTGAATATCTCGATTCTGCCTTTATCACTCTTGATTTATTCAATGTAATGTAAAAATCTTTTTATGTTGTTATTCATTCATCAATCATTATTTTTAACTCAAAAAGGGAGAATGCATTTGCACATTCCCTCCATGATGGGGTATTAAGAAGAAAAGGATATGAATGGTAGGGAAACAGTCATCAGAAAAAGGAGCAAAGAATGAAATAAAATGTTTCTTTATTAGCAAATGTCGATAAACTTTGGCCAAGAAAGAATTACAACGATAGGTATGGGGACAAAGCCCAAAATGAACAATAAGATAATCATGATAACACATCTAAAAGTTTTTTCTGAAAACTCAACCCTCTGATGTATTTAACAACTTGAAACTCTTCTGAATTTGCTAACCTTCATATCAGCAGACTTTCAGATTCGATGCTGTATTCTCCTTATCTAAGCCGCCTTTTCAGGTTTTCAACTTAGACAAACCCCCTATGACTCAAACCGTCCTTTTGGGGTTTTCGCCTTGAGTCCTCCTTGTTCACCTTTTTTCATCATTTTCATTTTTTCATTTTTCATTTTTTCATTTTTCATTTTTCATTTTTTCATTTTTTTCAAGCATAGTATTTCTTCACAGCATCAGAATTTACAGGATGGGGTAAATCATTTCCATCCATCTCAGTCAGTATCAACGCTCCACCCGAAAAGGCCCTTTTCGCCACATACGGCCCTTCCCAATTCGGAGTCCATTTTTCTCTACTATCATGCTGGATTGGGAGAATTCTTTTCAAAACCAACTCTCCTTCTCAAAAGCAACGAGGCTGAGTCTTTTTATCATGAGCCCTCATCATTCTTTTTTGGTATAGCTGACCATGGCACAGTGCAGCCAATCTCTTTTTTTCTATGAAATTTAACTGCTCATAACGTTCACGAATCCATTCAGCTTCTTCTAACTCAACTTCTTTTACAACTCTCAAAGAGGGGATCTCTACTTCCACTGGTAGTACAGCTTTCATCCCATAAACTAAAGAAAATGGGGTTGCCCCAGTAGAGGTGCGAACTGATGTTCAGTATGCATGCAATGCGAATGGTAACTTCTCATGCCAATCTTTGTAAGTCTCGATCATTTTTTCCAAAATCCTATTTATGTTCTTATTGGCTGCCTCAACTGCCCTATTCATTTTTAGACGGTATGGTGTCGAGTTATGATGCTTGATCTTATATTGAGCACATATTTCTTACATCATCTTGCTATTTAGATTCATGGCATTGTCTGAAATGATTTTCTCTTGAAGTCCATATCTACAGATAATCTCTTTTTTTATAAACTTACAAACCACGGAGTGTGTCACGTTTGCATATGAAGCTGCTTCTACCCATTTTGTGAAGTAATCTATCATCACAAAAATGAATCTGTGCCTGTTAGAAGCCTTTGGGGTGATTGGACCAATGACATCCATGCCCCACATTGAAAATGGCCATGGTGGTGCCATAACATGTAAAACAGACGACGGAGCATGAATCTTATCATCATATATCTGGCATTTATGGCATTTACGAGCATAATCAATGCAATCATTCTCCATCGTCAACCAGTAATATCTCGCTCTCATAATCTGTCTTGCCATCATATGTCCACTAGTATGTGCCCCACATATTCCATCATG